GTGAAGCTAATAATAGCACATGCTGTCCTCGTCTAGGTCCTGCTCACAAGTCCAAGGATTTATTTGAAAACTGGTAATTTAGATCCTAGTGAAATACCCCAGCTGTGAGCAGGTGTAGTAACAGCTTTCTGGTAACCTGAACTGTGATATTTGTGTGCAGGAATACAAATGGGGAAAAAGTAATAATGGAATTTGAACAGCCTAATATGCTATAATAAGGTAGAATAAAGCTGTATTTAATTAGCCAGTAACAAATGTTAACCTTATTTTAGATCAGGAAGCAGTGGTGAAACAGGGACTTCTGATGAGTTTTGCTCTCATTGTTTCTTGAGGCCAATTCAAATAATTTTACACCATGAATGATAGTTGGAGTGAAGTAGAAAAGCTAATAAACCTCATGAAGCCTAAGAAAGTGCCATTTTCAAGTTGGTCTCTTGTTGGTGAGTCCAAGTATGTCCCAGTGTGAAGTTTTCTTTTTCTTTTTTGTTTTTCCTTCTTTCTACAGGAGAAGAGGGTTTAAGATCTCATTTTTACTTGTGTGATAACGTATGTCTTCAAGTTTGTGGGGTTAGATTGGGAGTACACAGTCTGAACCATGCAAGTGGATCATGGCTTTGGAACAGTTCCAGATGGAACAAAGCTCACATTAGATCTGTGCTTAGTCATAAATCTCGTACCTTGATGTGGTTTCCCAGCAGGACAAAGACATATGGGGTCTGTAGTGTGCTCTGCAATTTAGATATGACAGGATTTTGTTTTCAGTACTATTACTCTGATTTGCTTTATGGTATGTTTTTCTGAGTTGTTTCCACACTTCTGGAAGCCATGTTTATCCAAAGTCAAATTGAGTCTTTTCTTAATAGGACATTAAGGGTTAGAGCAATTTACCAGGGGAACCGTAAGGAACAGTGTCACCTTTAATGTTTAATTCAGGATTAGCTGTCTTTGTGCGGGATGGACCTGATTTCACTTGTAGCTGTAAATTTCCTGAGGGAAGCCGTAGGTAAGTGCTCTGGTTTGTGTTGGTGAGGTGGTTAGAGGTGATAGATTGCAGCCCTTGTGCAGCCTCACCCATATGATGTGCCAGTGCAGTCTCTGTGCTGTTAGAGCAGAGTGCTCACCTGTTTGGGCTGTAGTTACTGCAGGCTTCAGGATTTTTTTTCCAGAGATATCTGGCATCATAAAGATTTCTAAATGCACCCATCTGATAAAGTTGGCTACATTCTGTAACAGCTTTGATGGTCTTCCCAAGCACTTCACCTCTTTATTGCACGTGGTGAGACAAAAGTTGTTCTTTTATCTTTTGTGAGATAAAAGATGCTGGCTCTGATAGTAGAACAGCTTTTTTGCACCGTCTCATTGTTACTTTTGGCAGAGCCAACCTGGTAAATCTGGCATAACAAAGAAGAAAATGCAGTAAGAAAAAGACTATTGTATTCGAGCAGAAATAGAGTTTGACTTTCAGCTAATATCTAATTAGGAGCTCAAACAGAAAAGTTAGAAATTACCTGTTCAGTATTTCAGTCTTGATGGACACATTTTAAAACCTAAACTAGATAGTGTGGTAAGTCAAAACAGGACCAATGTGACCTAAGAATTATTGAGAGGAAATTTTGAGCCCCGGGCTTAGAAAATTGATCCTGTGAAAATTGATCAAGCGTGATAGGAATGAAAACAGTTAAAGCCTCAACTTCTACAAATTTCTTAATTTTAGAAGTGTTGGGGAAGCTGCTGTAGAGCTGAACAGAAATGGGCTTTTATATATTGCAGTGCCTGTGGAAAGCTACATGTCTTGGGTATTGCTATTGAAATAGAGAAAGTGGAGGTGATAGCCACAGTATGCAACTGTAGGGGAATAGGCACTGAATTGAGTTTTTGGGTGTGCTGTGCATTCCAACAAAATGTAAAATTTGGACAAAAACGTATGTGCTGACGGGTTATAACCTGCTTTCCAACGTTTTCCAATGTTTGGAGTTAGAATTAGAAAAATTATTGTAGTGGTTTTGGTTTGCCAATTTGAGATTTCCCGGCCAATGCAGCACCACAATAATGTGGTGGGCTGAGTGCTGGCTAAATGACAGGGCACTTACTACAGTGTACTTATTTCCTGCTGTGAGATAGGGTTAGGAGGAAGGCAAAGCAGGCTCAAAACTTTAAAAGGGTATAAAGAAAACTTTATTAACAGTAAAACAAAGAATAATAAGAATCAAAACTTTCAGAACATTTCCCTCCTCCTTACAACTTTCCCACTAACAATGTATACAATTCAGTCAGTTTATCACCTCTAGAATAATCTTTCTTCAGTTCACTCGGGGAGAAGAGTGTCCCTTGCCATGCCATGGAGACTTCTCCACAAGAAACAGTTCCCTCGTGGCTTTTAATTTTCACAGATAGCAGCTGCCTGGAAAATCTGCAATAGTGAAGTCCCTCCCATCTTTTCACAGTCTTCTCACAGCTGTGTTTATGGGCCACATCAACTTATGGGGTACTATTTTAAGGATGAGCTGTTTAAGGATAAAAGTTCTCTTCATCTATCTTTGAAATCATCTTCATCTCTGGGAACAGAGGTCTTCTCTCCCTGGGGGCACAGGGTCATGATCACTCCTCTCTCTCTCTGTTTGAACTTCTCATGGGATTACAGCTACTTCAACATCTGTTTACTTTAGCATAGATGTGTTTGCTCGTATTTTCGATTTGAATGCTTCAACCCATGTACTCTCCAATGAGTTACAGAGAAAAAGAGTCTGATGTATCAATTATATTCTTCTCCATAGTTTTACAAGAGGATTTCAGCTTAAACTTAAGGTATCTCCCCATTCTCCTGCCATATTGGACTTGATTCTTCCTGCCGCTGCTGGGGCCCGGCCCTGCCTTGGCTGGAGCCCCCACAGCCGCCCCTCCCCTGCCCTGCCCGGCCCCCAGGCCAGGAGGGGGAAGTGAAGTGTTGCACTTCAGTGAGTCCCTTTGAGCCACCTGCGCTTTCAGGGCCTGGAGCATGCTGGCTAAAAAGGAGCTAACAAACAGGGCAAGGATGGGTCTTTGTTTGGAGATCGAAAGGGTGTTTATTCTTAGAGGGTCCAGGGACAAAGACAAAAACACGGTGGAAGGCACAGGGTTAAATAAGGGGAAAAAGGGGTGGATCTGAGGGACGAGGGCCAATGGAAATGAGGAAAAGTGGTGCAGGGTCGGAGCAGTAAACCAGGAGAACCAGGAAGGCAACCATGGGGCAAATGAGAGCCAATGGGGATAAGAAAAGGAGAGAACATTCTAGGGGGAATGCCGATATGGAAAAGGCAGCTGAACAGGGGTGACATCAATTGGGGGAGCCACTGAAACTTAAAACATGAACATGTGGTTGCAGAGGCTTATGGGAGGGAGACTTTTCCCACCCTAACCACAGGGGTGTTTCTCCTAGCCTGTTTCTGCCGTTCCGGGGTTGAAGCGCTGTAGTCTCTGTGGCAGCCTCCCAGCCTCCACAGGGAAGGAGTTCTCCCTCCAGACACCAGAAGAAAAAGAGCTTTTCCTGGAGTTTTTTAACATGTGTGTTCACAGGGGTGTATTCAGCTTTCTGGTGGTTTAACAACGTGTCAGTCTTCACAACTAGGCGCTGATTGGTGTTTCTTAGACGTGGAGGAAGCTCTCAGCAGCTCCATTCAGAAAAATCATTTCCGTGGGTGGCTTCTTCCTGCCTCACCAAATGTCAATTAATGCAAAACCAGCACAGTTATTACTTACAACTTGCATCCCCACTTCTATAAACGTGTCCCCCAGCACATAGGTGCTGCTTGTTTGATTCCAGCCTTGATGCCTTTCGCTCCTGGCAGTATCAGAGCTTCTGCTCTTTTCCTGTGTTGTAATAAATGTTTGTTACTGGGTCAGGAACCCAGCTGACCAAAATGGGGCAGGCAGAATTCTCATTGTTACTGCACTAGCATATTCTGGTCTATTGAAGTGTCTTGCAAAATCTTTTTATGACTCTTTCCAGGGCCAGTGTGCAACTTGAACATTTTCTTCCTTTTTCAGAAAGCAAATGAGAACGTGTAATATATTTCATTTGGGATGTTGGGGTTTTTTCCTTCTTTTCCTGTTGCTCTTCCTGTGCTTTTTAATTCTCTGCCATGCTCAGCAACAAGGGTGTATTGTTTTTATTCTCCCCATGTTTTGCGAGGTGTTTGACTGTCTTAAAATTATCCCTCCCTTGATAAATAAGCAGTATTCAGAAGGAAAGAAAGGGAAGTGCAAGGTTAATGTTCAGCTTCTACCCGGCATATGTGTTAGTTTAATTTAAAAATGTTTATGTATATAACATCAATAAACTTCTATATTAGGAAAAAGGCTCTCTAGCTAATTGACTGAAGAAGTATCCATAGAAATAATCATTTTGAGATCCAGTGTTTGCACCTTCAGTTAGTCTTTTCTGAAAGAGATGAGATTTACCCTCTTCATGTGGATATAATTTGTGGTTTTAGTCTGAACTGACTGAGCACAACCAGACTGCTGCTTTTATCTATGTGTAGTATGTGTTGTGTCCCGTACCTCTGATCCTAAAAGACACGCCTGTTGTTCTGTAAAAACCTCCCACTTTTACATGGCAGAGGCTGATATTCTCTCTCTCAGTGGAGATACTCCATAGCAAGCTCTTGATGTCAAACTCAGAACTGACATGATGGTTGCTGTGCTGGTAAGTGTGTGCCTGAAGTGTGTGTGAGTGAACACCTCCTTGTATTTGATATCCTGCAAACTGGAAGAGTGTGATTTTCCAGCTAAAACCAAAATGATGGGATTTTGCTGTTCTCTTGCATCAGGTTCTTAATTTATGAAGCTGAAATTGAAGTTTGCCTAAGCAACATCTGACTGATACTTCTGCTTGAGAACAGAACCAAAAGCTGAGCAAACTTTTGTTTGGAGAACAGGAATGCTGCTTTGTATGTTAAGTAAAACACAATATTTGATTTCTGAAGAAGTAATTATTTAGTTGGTTTTGTCTGTTTTTGGTACAGGTTATTAATGCTGCTTTAGCTCTTGCTGCCAGACCAAAAAGTCAAGTTGTGAAAAACACCATGGAGATGTATAGGAGTACATGGGAGAACCACATCCATGTTCTTACTGAAGCTGTGGATGATATAACAAGTATTGATGATTTCCTTGCTGTATCAGGTATGGTAATTTTCAGAATCCAATTGTTCTTTTATATGCTTTGAAAATTTTTCATCACTTTTCAGTGGGACACTAGTGAAAGATGAGATTGTATAGTGATTTGTGTGAATATAGTGTGAAACCATTGCTGTTGTTTCAAATGTATTCCTGCTGTGCATGGTGTAGAGCTGGGCAGAAGTCCTGCCACACCAGGTGGGTGTGACAGGGGTACATTTATCCATCCCCACAGCTTCCTTTACCTCTGCAGTTTCAAATCCTCTCTGCAGCTATGAGAGGTCTCTGAGGAAAGGAAGTGCATATACCTTAAACAAGAGGTTCTTGTGATACCCTGTGTTCCAGTTCCTGTGGAATGCACAGTAGAATTTCTGGAATTTTCAGTGTCGCAGATATTTGTCACACAAAATACACTTTTACAGATCTCTGTGGTGAAGAGGCCTTGGGTAGTAAACTGTATTTACTGAAGCAGTGAGTGTCTTCAGCATTTAAAAAGAAGAGTGAAAACAGTTGTTTCACTTTTTGCAGTTTAAAGATCCCAGTTCTGAAGTAAGGTTCTGCCCTCACTGTCTCACTTTCCTTAGTGAGGAAAACAAAAGCATTTCAGTTGCACAGTGCCTATTTTTTCTGTTGCTCCTGGTAAAATACACCTTCATATGCATAGTTTAGAAATCCTTGTATTGTGAAGCCCATGTAAATTTGTATAATTCTACTTTTCTGATTTCTCTTAAAGTAGCATACCGTGGAAAGAAAGGAAAGATTTGTCTCATCTACCTTAAATGTGGTTTAATTTCTGTCTATCCATGTGGTCAGTGGGCCCTGTGCTTGCCCATTTCTCTTTGGGCATGTCATTTGGGCTTAGTTCCAGTAGTTAGGGCTGTTTGGTTTATTCAGCAGTAGGAAACATGAGTAGTTCTGCAGGTGTCAGTAGTTTAAAACCTTTGTAGGTGAAGTCACAGCTAAGTTCACATTCCCAAGTTCTGCTTTGCTCACTAAACGTGAGAGTAGACCCTTACCTGAAAGGGGCAGAGTTTGGGTATTCTTTGCTCTAAAGCCTGTTGGGTATCATCACTGTGGGGCCTGGAAGCTGCTGGAGTGGAGTCCCAGTAAGTTTCTTGCCATCAGGGTGTGGATATTCCAGTGCAACCAGCATGAGCAGAGATGGCTGTTCAGGCCCTTTTGGGTCTGCTGATAGGGGATACAGACTTTTCTTCAGGCTGGGGAAATTCTCCTTGCTTTACAAGGTCAGCTGGTATACCTGGCAAGTGACTTAGGTCTGAGTGTAGAAGAATTTACTGCAAATAGTGTGGCTTAGTTATTCATAGTTACTCTCCTCTGTGTGTCTCAGCTCTGTATCTTCATACAGAGTAGCATAACCTGAGAATTATTTTCTCCCTGTGTAAGTTAGCCTTTGATGGAAGTGCTTTATGAACCTGCTTGTCGTGCAGATCTTTCCTGTTCCTGAGTTTTCCTGAAATTTATGCAGGTATTGCTAAAGCTGTTAATAAAGAGGTGAAACAAGTCAATTGCTAATGAATAAAATACATGAATCTCTGTAAAACTCAGGAGATTTCATAGTAGGTTAAAAATCTTCTGTCAGATTTATTGAGCTAAATGATTATTTTTATCTATACAGCTATGATTCATTGAAATGACACATTTTAGGTTGGTTTTTCTTTTCAAAATTTCTTGGACTTGAAGAATAAAGTTAAGCATTCCAATAATAATTATGTAGAAGAAAAATCTGTCACTGGGCAGCTGCTCATTTCAGAGAAGGCTTTTTAGTATATTTACATTCTTTGGTTGAACACATTTAAATGATTGTCTATTTCACAGTAAATAAAAGCAGAAATGAATTCAGGTAGCAGTGATGTGTATGGAGCTCATGCCATGAGCTCCAAGAAAGGTAAACATTGCTGCATTTCCTTTAAACTGTGTGTAGAACATCTTCTGTAAGCTTTGGTAGAGCCCTTTGGCACATGGTAATTTAATTTGTTTAAACTTCAAGTGTCATTCTTATTCTTAAGGGCTCTGTTGAGAAGATGTTTCTCTATGGCAATGTCACCTTTTTGCTTTGGAAAGGTTTTTTTACTAGTTCATGTACAAAGGAGTAATTGTAAGGAGCAGTGCAAATCATGCTTGGTTTACTCCACAGGGTATTAGCACCTTTGCTGTGTTCTGAGGGATTAAAACATTCACATACTGCTCTGTCTAAATAGAAAGGTTAGAAGTGTAGTAGAAGATGGTATCTGCACTTTTTTGGAGATTACTCAGTAATTAGGGAAGGTGATTGAGAATTTTGCATCGTGTTTGAGACAAGGGAATTCCAAAACTGGTATTTAACAGCCCTGTTTTTTCTACAGAAATTAGTATTGTACATCTCATGCCAACATGGGCATTCTGGGCAAAAAAATACCTTTTAAACCAGCAGATTTCTTTCAAAACAGGTTCTGTGCTGTGCTGGCTTGTCAGCTCCTCACTCAGGTGAGTTGGAGTGGCTGAGTTTGCAGGTTGTGGGGGAAAGATAAATTCTGGAGTGTCAGAATTGCATTCAGAGTTTCATTCAGGACACTTTTTAGGAAATACAGTAAACACACCTTCCCTAGTGGTTCTAGTGATTCAGAACTCTGCATCATACAATAGAACTGCCTACTTTAAAGTTCATTTAAAATTTCTTCTTGGACTGATTGAGAGGTCAGTTATTTCTGACAATCCTGCCTGTCCCACTGGCACTCAGGGAAGGAAGATTGTGAGCATTTGGAAGGTTGGTTGATTTTTCTTTGTTGCTTTTGTTTTGTATTGTTTTTAAATGTTCTTATAAATGATATCTAATAATAAACAAAATGCTGCTCTTCTTTTTCTGAGTGTATTGGTCTTTTCAGATTCATGCATCTTCTTGAAATTGGTTTTTTTTTTCAGTTGTGTTTTATTCTTGCCAGTTATATGGTACTATAATCAAAGGAAAACAGCACTACAGAACAAAAAAGTTGAAATCAGGTCTTTACAGGTGAAAAAGAGGTCTGATTGCAAATAGTTGAAGTGGAGCTCTGTTCCTTATAAAGGAAAGCAAGAGTTAATGACTTGTGTTAAAAAAAAGTAATTGTAATTATGAAACATTATAAATTATGATACTGTTTTTCATAGATTTGTTACACCTTGTAGGAACAGAGAATCAGTCTCAGCCTATCAGTTTTGGATAGTTAATTTATGCAACGAAGAATGTGGGTGTTAATCTTTACAACCCACTGACATTAAGTTAAAAAATTACTGTCATCCATTTATCATGATGATGTGAAGTCTACAGATTCATAAATTAAAATGTGCTGTTGCATTTGATGCATGAATTTCCAGGAAACCTGTTTTGTTCTGCTTGTAATTGCATTTGTAGTGGTAAATCTGAAGTTTTATCCTGAACCCTCTGCTCTTGTAAACTGCCTCTTAGTGTCTTCTCCCTCATACAATTAGCCTGAAACAGAGTTTGAGGCTCGTTCCCTAAAGTTGATTCTTCTGTGTTATTTTAATACTCTTTTATTCAAAACTTAGTAAACCTAGTGGGTGTAGGTAGAAAATCTGAAATGTCAGTATTTCCGTCCTTTGTGTGTGTGTTTTCTGCTCCAGATGATGGTGTGTAATTGCAATGACAGGCTAATTGCAATTATTAAGTATTTCAATTTTGCCATGTGTTAGAAAAACAGTAAGAAAATACTTGGATCTTTTAGTCCCAGAATTAACTTTTTCAAGGACCATATAGGTAAGATCTGAAGTGTGTTTATATTTACAAAATTCTCAGGACCTGTGATTTTCTTTTTTCCTGTCTGTTGTCTTCTTGAAGTGCTTGCGTGACGGACCCCTGAGCTGTTTCTGTGTCCTTCTCTTAGAGTCCTTGCCCAAACTAAGATCATTTCATCAGCTGGGCCTTCTCTTCAGCCTCCCTAGTGCTGTCTTGAATTTTGCTCTTTGTGATATTTATAATATCAGAATGCTTAAATGCCTTTAACAGTACCGCTTCTTTTGCCAAAATGGAAGTGCCTTGTTTTCATAACAACGTTTCCTTGTTCATCTCTTTCCTCATTCCTCCTCATGTATGAGTAAATCTGTCTTCAAGTGCAGTCCACAAATGACCCAGAGCCTTTTCTGTTGTGTAAAATGAAGTCTGTGCTCTCTGGCCTTTTATATACCTTCTTAAAATACAATTTGGTTAAAGTGCATTTTGTCCTTTTTAATTGCATCAGCACTTTTAATTGAATTAATTTTTTTTAAGGTAAATCCATTCCAAATAATGGGTAATAAGTCATTAGACACTGAGAGGGTTTTGTGTGCTGTCCAGTTTGTTGTTTCCCTGCCAGAAGTTCTGTTTGCTGCTCTTTACCTGACAGAGTCATAGGGAGTGCTGTCACTTACATGTCTGCCTCAGGTGAGGGTTTGTGCAATTCCCCCGTGCAGTTTGCTCTGCTAATTTGATATTTGCAAATGTGGACCCAGGCAAATCAATCTGCAGTAGAATGTGGGGAGTCTGCCACTGTTAGTCCTGTGAGCAGAACAGTATTTTGTAATGTGTCCACAGGTGCCCCACAAATCCAGCTCCTTACGGGAGCTGGCCTGAGGGTCCTTAAATAGGTAAAGACTTCAGAGACTGCTGAGGAAGTTCCCTGATGAGATAAAGGATCATTCAAGATAACCTGAGTAGGCAAAAGAGTATAACATTTATACTGAAGAATTGGGACCAATCAGTGACTCCTGACAAGAAGGACAAGAGCCATAGTTCATTATTCTATGGTACTCTTGTTCTGGGGTGATGGGCAGACTTTCAGAGCAAATCCTGGGAAATCTTGTACGTTTCTCCCACCAAATGGAGTAGAGAAGTTTATATTCAAATGTGGATTGTGCAGGGAATTCCTGAAGTCTGAAATCATACAAGCTAGATATTTTTTTCCCATCTGGTAGTCTTTTCCTTGGAATCTCAAAATTATTTTTTCCAAAAATGGTGGGAAATAGTATGATGCCAC